TTTAAACTGTTCAGTACTATGTAACGGAACATCATAGAGATTACAAGAACGAGTTTTCCTATCATGAAGATCCGATATCTTAACAAGTTTGGTATATAGGTAAAGTGGCAGCTGGGTTTTGTTAATATTGTAAGTTAAGCAAGCAAGATGTATCAAAAAGCGCTCATGCATGTTGAACCAGCCAGAGGCTCGAAATTCGTCACTGAAGTGGTCATATTTTTTCAAACCGTGCGAAAATTTGATGCATGAGTTCTGAATTTTTTGAATAGAACGTTTGTCTCTAGTAGTGAGAGCAGGCCAGTATACAATATCAGCATATGACAAGGAAGACAATATCAACGAATCGCATAGATTCAGCCTGACTTCAGTAGAGAGATCATTCTTGTGAAGATAAAAAGTCCTTAATTTAGCATAAGCTTTTTGTAAGAGATGCTTAACGTGGGGAACAAATTTAAGAGTATTATCCATATATAATCCCAGATTTTTACATTGGTTGCTTGCTTGCAAGACAGTGTTATTAATGCAGATTCTAAAATTCTGATTGTCAGTAACCTCACACGGTCTTGATCCAAAAATAAGCAATTCAGTTTTATTTTCATTTAATACGAGGCTGTGGGCTCTTACATATCTAGATAAGTACTCAAGATCGGAATTGATACGCATGCAGGCAACATAAGCATCATCACGTTTAAAAGAGTAATACAATTGTGTATCATCTGCATATTGATGTGTACTGCAAAATTCCAACTGACTTTTCAAATCTGACGTATACAGTGAAAACAACAAAGGTCCTAAAATACTACCCTGTGGCACACCTCTGGTAATACTACGAAATTGAGATATGTGCCCATTAAATTCTGTGCACTGAGATCTGCCTGACAGGTAGCTAATAAAGAAATCTACAGCCATATTGCTTAGTCCCAGAGATTTAAGTTTCAAACATAAGATTGAATGATCTATTGTATCAAAAGCTTTACTGAAATTGAGCAAAATCAAGCAACTATACAACTTATTGTCACATGCTCTGAATAAGTCATCTGTAACGGTTGCAAGTGCGGTTGTAGTACTATGGCCAGAGCGAAAGCCCGATTGTGTGACAGGAAGTATATTATTAGATGTAATAAATGTTTTTAGTTGGAAAGCTACGATTTTTTCCAATATTTTCGAAAAGGTAGGTAGAATACTTATAGGGCGAAAATGAGAAAATTCTTTTGGATTACCGATCTTTGGGATAGGAATAACTCTAGACTTTTTCCAGCTGGACGGAAAAGTGTTGTTAGCAAGGCAAAAATTGACAATATAAGTAATTATGTTACTTAGATAAGGAAAAACTAGTTGAATCATCTTGAGGTCAATCTTGTCAGTACCAGATGAATTATATTTTATTGACATTAATAAGCGCTCAATATCTTCATCACTCACCAAACGGAATGAAAATTCATTGTTAATATTACGATCAGATACATATTGACTTGCGTCAACGCCAGATGAGATACTACTGGAAGGAACACCATCAATGAAGAAGTTGTTAAGTTCATCTGGGTCGTACTGCAGACCATTAATGTTGAGATAATCCATAGCTTTCCAAAATTCCTTAGAAGATAATTTTGATTTTGACTGTAAAAATGCTTTCTTTTCAGACTGTATTGAGAAGTTGAGCAAATTTCTTAAATTCTTATAATATTGCAGCGTCTCCTGAGTCTTATACCTCTTATACCTTAAAAAAGCTTTTTTCATAAGCTGTTTCATCAATTTTAAGTTATCTGTCCACCAAGGAGCTGGTCTCTTAGTGATTCTAGCAGTTTTATACGGAGCATGCCAATCAAAGATGTTAGAGATATTAATATCCCAAAATGAAATAATGTCATCAATATTATGCATATGATAAATTGCTTGCCAGTTTATCTAACAGTAGGTCATGAACAAAATAATCGTAATCAAATTTAGAAAAGTCACGGTACGGTATCTTCTAAAAATAGGAACGAACCTATCAGCAACGAAAACCGTATTACATTCAACTAAGGAATGATCGGAAATGTCATCCATGTTAATAACAGAATGAGATGTAACTATGTTAACGTTTGAAGTAACAATTAAGTCTAGTATACTACCACTGGCTGGACGAGTGCTTGAATCTATAATCTGAGACAGTTCATATTCATCTAAAAATTCCACAAGTTGGGCGGCTATGTTGCTGGCTTTACTAAGGTCAATATTAAGATCGCCACCGAAAAGTGTTTCATCAAATTCTGACTTGACATAGGTAATCGCATTTTCAAGCTCGTTGAAAAAGTTATTGACATTAGAATTAGGAGGACGATATAATGTGCCAAAACAAACCGATTTATTACTAATTTTTAGTTTTATCCACAACTGTTCCAAGTCGGGTGAGATTGATGAGTCAACTACAGAAAATGATAAGCAATTTTTAATATAAAACGCCACCCCGCCACCTCTAGTACCACGATCCTTTCTCACCAAATTGTAGCCTGGCAGTTTAAAAGTGTCAGCATCGCCAGATAGGTCTAACCATGTTTCTGAAAGTCCAACCACAGAATAGTTGGAAGCACATATGAATTCCGAAAAAGAGTCAAACCTTTAGCAAGTGCAGTATCAGCTATTGGAAATTCCATACCTCCTTTTTTCATTTTTCCACGGGTACATTTCAAACCACATTTTTTAAATTCGGCTCCTCCTGGCTCACAAGGTTCTGCAAACCCATCAGGTTGGATGAAAGAGTCACATTTCTTGGAGTTTCTTACATTTTTTCACCTTCATGTGAAAAATACTGTGTGCTTTTACTAGATAACCGTGGATCACATCTGAGTATAGAAGGACTGAATTTTGCCAAAGCAAATGGCATTGTCATGCTCCCTTTTTACCCTCACTGTTCACATAAACTTCAACCTCTTGACCGTGCCGTTTTCGGCCCTTTTAAGAAATATGTAAATATTTCCTGCGATGCTTGGGTTTTAAATAATCCCGGTAAGACCATGACTATATACGACATACCTTCAGTGGTCTCTATTACATACCCCCTCGCATTTACTCCCAAAAATATACAGTCTGGATTTTGGGTGTCGGGTATGTTTCCTTACAACAGAGATATTTTCACGGATGATGCCACTGATAGGCCAGATCCGGGTATCTTGAACGAAGCAATAACTGCACCAAACCCGGAAACCTTAAACGAAAAGGAAGTTGGGCCAAATCCAACCATCTTGAACGAAGATGAAACTGTAGGTCTGATAAATATTAACACGCAGGAAGCAATAGATAATATACGAGAGGGCAAAACAGCTAATCAAACTAGTTTTGATGATCCCTGCTGTAGTAGTTTAGTAAGGCTGCATACGGGAAATACGAGTATAGTACCTCCAGAAGGTTTAAGACCTTATCCAAAGGCATCGGCAAGAAAAATGAATCGAGTTTCCCGTCGAGGGAGTGCAATGCTCACTGACACTCCAGTAAAAGACCAATTAGAGAAAGAGAAAAATAAAAGCTGGAACAAGAAAAAGAGGAACAGGGAAACAGTGAAAAGAGACGTTTTTGATTCAGAAAAAAACTGAAGATATCTAAAAAAATTGAAAAACGCAAGTCCTGATCAGATAATGAAACTGATGGAGAAGAATGTTTTTTGCTTGATTTGTCTTGAACCATTTTCTAACAGCGCTCCAAATGAAGAATGGATGCGTGCACTTATGGACGCGAACTTTACATATGTCGTAACTGCGATAGTGACTAATTGTAAAAAAACTCTTCTACTTTTTTCTCATAAAGATTTGGTGTTTAATAGGCAGTTTTTGTAATAATAAATATGTTTAAAAGTATGATATCATCATTTATTAATGATCTAAAATACACATGACAACCAACCCCAAGCAATGTGACACCCAACCTCAGCAAGGGGCAAGTTTTCACATTAATTTGTTTCTATATTTTGAAACATTTTAATTTAATATTGTGAATTATTTTACAGCCTTATCGATTTTACATAGTGTTTCCAAAGGATAAACTATATTAGTTATGCACCAAATATGTGCATATAACGCTTCAGATCGAATAAAAAAAAGAATTACTGAAAATTGACAAGTAGCCCCGGTCTCCCCTATTCAGGTAATTATTAAATGCACCACCATTTTGTAGTAGGTAAAGGTATTGACTTTATATTCTAGTGTTATAAAGTACTCGTCAAAAGCTTCAAAATAATTTGCAACACGACCCCCGTATCACACACGCATCAATTTCACTAAATCAAGTTTTGATTTTTTGAATTGAACCGTTCAAAAAATCAAAGGGGAGGGGGACATAAAAGAAAAGCACTGTATAATAAAAACAGCATAGGTCCAAGAACGAATCCTTGGGGAACTCCGTGGTCTGCTGCTTTGGTGTGGGAAGTACAGCCATTTAAATACATTAGTTGTTTTTTCAGATAGGTATGATTCTAAGATTTTAATACTACCAGGATGAATGTGGTTAAATGGTTTTTTTTTTCAATAAAATAGTATGCTGAACACGGTCGAAATCCTAATCTGTTTAGTCTTATGTTGTGAAATAAAAGCGCTTTCAAAGAAAGTGTGACATAGAGAAGAAAAGCTTGACTAACGTAGTGCATTTTTCAGTATTTTTGATGTAAAATAACTAGTTTAATGACTTATCTGTTCCGGTGTCAGAAACAGGTGTTTCATTTAAGAAAACTGTATTGAACTTGAAATGACCTTGAAGCTGATAAAGCTATGCCCATAGCCTTCCACTAATTTTAGTTAGTAAGTTTAGTTTGTAGAGAAAAAAAGTGACAATGTTAACGTCGAATTTATTTTGTAATTAATAGACATAATAATAAGTAAGGATACAATCCACCCTACCAAGTCGACTAGACTAAATTAATACCATTTAATCGGATACCGCATCTTATCACAAAGCCTACCCCTATCTGTTATTCCACCCCAAATCATCATCCGCGTCACTTTGCGCTTCCGGGCCACGAAGAACATGGTAAAATGGAACGAGACGAAGAAAGGGAGGCGGAGGAAAAGTCCAGCTGGTGGCAGTAACAGAATTAAAAGCGCAGAAGTTTTCCAATTAACTGGGAATCCCCACAAGAAATTAGATCTGATGATTCGATCCGGGGAGTCCAGGGACTGGCCGTGGAGACGAGACGTGTCGATACCTTGAGGAAATTGCTAGACGTCAGAATGTGTGTGCTACGCCTTCCGGATCCGTGCGGTGGCAGCTCACATAGTACACGTCAATTAATTTTGAAAGACAGCTTGATTGCGAGAACATCCCCACTAATATTGTAAATGAGCAAGCGTGGAAGTTGTTACTCAATCACGCGAAAATGGCTGAACGGCAGGGGTATTGCATTATGTTCACTTCAAACCCACTTGCAGCAAGCGCGGATGAACTGTTTGCATACTAGCCTACTTAGTCAACAGAGTGACATTTTATAGCTTTTACGACATTATACAGGTTTTTTTTATTTACTGACATATATATGGTGAAGTGTGAGAGGCTTTGAACTGACCCTTGTGGTACTCCAGACGTAACACCTCCTGGTCCAGAAGAACCATTTCCTAAACCCACTCTCTGAGATATAGGGTAGGGTGCCCTAACTTTGCGCAGGAGGTAAGATTGCGCAGCTCCCATATTTCGAAAGCAAAATGACATTGTCGACTAACTTCTCTCGTGTTCTGGGCCGTTGCTGTGAGTGAGTGCGCTGTGGAAAAAACAAACCAAAAACCTATCAAAACCTAGTCGCAAGGTAAGTTTGAAGTTAAATATCGATTCTGATGTTATTGTTTCTCAATTTCATGAAAGCCTGAAGTACTATCAAAGATTTGACCAGTGTTTTAGTTTGCGTGATTTAACCTATACAGCCGGCGAGCGATATAATTTTTGATATTTTCAATAGATGGCGTTAGGAGTCACATAATTGTATATTGGGCTATTCCCTAAGACTGCGCAGAGTCACGGTCCGTAACACTACGCGCGCAGACTTACCCTACCATAACTTTTAATTTGATATAACAACCTTAAATATTCATTTTCAGAATGCCTAATCAAAGAAAAAGGTCGTCGGAACGTTCGCTGTGCCCTCAGTATGTTTTAGAGGAAGCTAGAAGACGAATAGAAAATGGTGAAAGCAAAAGAAAAGTAGCATCGTCGTACGGGATGAAAGAAAGTACTTTGCGGTATCGCCTGAAGACAAAAGAAGCTGCAACAAAGCTTGGTAGATATGATGCAACTCTTTCTCCCGAAATTGAACAGGAATTTTGTAATTATTTGGAAGATCTTGACAATATGTTTCAAGGGATGACTCCTAAGAATTTGAGGATTGCTGCTTACGAGTTTGTGGTGAAAAATAATATTCCTCATCGTTTCAATGCCGAAAAGAAAATGGCAGGCAAACACTGGCTTCGTGGATTTCTCAGTCGGCACCCAGATCTTTCACTAAGACGTCCAACTTCCACAAGTATTGCTAGGGCGATGGGATTTAATAAGCCACAATGTGAAAGGTTCTACAAAAATCTAGCAGAATTGATGGACAAGTATAAGTTTCCTCCAACTTCCATTTATAATATGGATGAAACTGGTCTGTCTACCGTACAATCCTCCAAGGGTCATATCAAAAAAAGGAAAGCGCGCTGTTAATAAGATTTCTAGCGCTGAAAGAGGAACGAACGTAACCGTAGTGAATGCTATGAGTGCATCTGGACACTTCATTCCTCCCGCTTTCATATTCGGTCGCAAAAGGATGAAAGCAGAATTGCTGGATGGCGCACCACCAGCGTCTATTGGAATGGTCTCAGACACAAGTTATATTAATAGTGAACTTTTTTTAAACTGGCTAGGTCACTTTAAAGATCACACAAGACCAACTAAAGAACACCCTATCCTTCTGGTTCTTGACAATCATGTGTCGCATTGTACAATAGGGGCTGTAGACTTTTATCGAGCGAATAACATAATAGCTCTAACCATACCTCCACACAGCAGCCACAAGATGCCACCACTAGACAAAGGTTTTCATAGTGCGTTGAAGACTTATTTTGCGAGCGAATGTGAAAAATGGATGAGAAACCACCCTGGCAGAGCTATAACTGCTTTTCAGATGACGTCTTTATTTACTCCAGCGTTTAATAAAGCAGCTACAGTTGGTTGTGCTGCTGAATGTTTCAAGGTGTCCGGAATCTACCCATACAATCCAGATATCTTCACAGATGCAGATTTTCTTCCTAGTGCTGTGACCGAAAGAGAAATGGATGATAACCAATGTTCAGAATCACAACAGGAGAATCCTCAAGAAGCAACACCCCATGAACAGGGAGAACCAGTTATGGATAATGAGCCTCGTGCTTCTGTTTTCAACAAGGAGCCAAAAAAACCATCAACTCCGAGGAACGCTTTTACAGCAATTGAGAATGTTTCTCTAGTAACAGAAGCTCCAGCCGAACCAGTTGTGAGTTCTGAGTCAGGGCAAAAGAAAAACTTCGACGGTCCTCCAGCTGAAAAAAATGGTGGTATCTTCCAAGTTCCTGCACAGGTACCATCTTGCAGCAATGAATCGGCCGCAATCAAAGTGACACTCCAAGATATTTGCCCTATACCAAAATCAGGTATAAGAAAGACCGCAAACAAGCGAAAACATAAGAAATCTGAAATACTTAGTGGTTCTTCATATAAAGAACAGCTATTAGTAGAGAATCAGCTGAAGAAAACTCCTGAGAAAAAAATGAAAAAAGTTTGCGGAAAGCCTTCTAAATATCCTAAAAAAAAAGAAATGGGCATGCGGTGGCTGCAATGAGGAGTATAAAGAGCCGATTACAGAGGATTGGATCGGTTGTTCTGTTTGTTCTGAATGGTGGCATGAGAAATGTACGGCCTACGTAGGCATTGGACAGTTTAAGTGCGATTTATGCGCTTAAGATACCTTATTCTGTTTTAGTTCCTACTTTTAAGTTTTTGTTATCTATGCGCAATCTTAACGATCTGAATGCACAATATCCAGGGACCCGTAGTGGTAAGACTGCGCATTTACATCTTTGTCTTTTTTTTTAATTACTAACAAAATTGTTATCAGATGTTTGAATAAAACTTAAATTAACAAAGTACATTAATGTGAGCCTAAATAGAAATTAAGATTATTACAATAGGTTATTGATTCACGATTCTACGGCTTATCAAACCTTAAGCGCGCAGACTTGGGGCACCCTACCCTACATACATATATAACAGTTATATAGGATCGATTCACATAGTCCTAAATATTTTAGCTTTGATATTAAAAGATCATTTTTAATTTTATCAAACGCTTTAGAAAAGTCAAGGAGCAACAGGACACTAGCATCACTCCTGTCTGCTGCGGTGATAATATAATCAGCGATAGACAACAGGGTAGTTGTTGTGTACCCTTCTCTGGATACAGATTGTTGATCAGGAATTAAATCATTTTCAGACAATTATCTTTCTAGCTGGAACGAAATGGTTCTTTTAAGGAATTTTGATAGTACGGGTCACTGTATGACTGTAGTAAAGAGATTTTCGGAACAGTACATATCAGTGATTCTTTCCAGGAAACGGGAGAATATTCGCTTAATGTAATATATTACCTACATCTGGATGGTTTGTGTACTCCAAAAACTAGTTTGTCAATATTTACACTTCCTAGACTTCACGTTCAGTTTATTGTTGCATAACTTTAAGATTCGGTAGAACTTTTAAAATTAATGCATAAAGTCTATATAAACATGGGTCGAAAAATGCGCGGCTTCCGAAATACAGGGTGTTTAAATTTAGTTTCTAAAATAGTTTTTTTTTAATATTTCGAACAATATTTGATGTATAACAGTGAAAATTGGTATACAAGGGTTTTTTGGTACGACAAAACGAACCGCGGGGCATAGTTTTACTGTAGCCGCTAGAGGGCGCTCTCTACTGTACCTGTAGCGTATTAAAATGACCGAAAAATTTTTCTTAGTGCAATTTTTTGCTTCTTGAATAAAAAAAATGATTCTTCGCACTTTTCAACATAAAAAAGCTCTCTTGTGAATTTTCGTTATAGTTAGCCGTCTTTGAGATATTTCGATTTTTAAGGTTCGATGCATTTTTTATTATTTATGGGAAAATAACGTTAAAAAGTCAGTATCTCAATAATTTTTAGAAGTAGGCTGTGCCTGCAAATATTTTTGAAATTGAATGCAGAATAAGGTTAAACGTCAATTAGTTGACAGTTAGTTTTGTTGTCTGTTGAAACCTGAAACGTTTTTTTGCAATTGTGAATGCACGAAATTTAGTTTCTTTTACCTGTTTTTTTTTGTAAGTTTTATAAAAATGCCATTTTTATTCTCCAATCAAGAGTTAGCGGATATTCATTTTGTGTATGGCTTTGTAAATGGAAACGCAGCAGAAGCAGCCAGAGAATACGCACGAAGATTTCCAAACAGACGACATCCAGCTCGCTCAGTATTTGAAAGAGTGCATCGCCAAATAATTGAAAATGGTTTTGGAAATCTCCAAAGGGATCAAAACATAAATGTTCGTCAGCGCAGATTTACCCGTATGATTCTGCGTGAGTTTGATAGAGATCCGGCCACAAGTGTTAGGAGAGTTTCTGGTGGCTTGGGAATTTCAGCAAGCCATGTTCACCGTGTTCTTAGACATGACCATAGACGTCCTTACCATTTGCAACCTGTGCAAGGACTACAGCCAGGGGACGGAGAATGAAGAATCACATTTTGTCAGTGGATTCTTGATAGAACTGATAATAATAGGGAGTTTTTAAGTAACGTTTTCTGGATCGATGAGTCATGCTTCACTAAACGTGGAGTGCTGAATTTTCATAATCAACATATTTGGTCGCATGAAAATCCGCATGCAGTTCGGGAAAGAAATTGAATTTAGTGTGAACGTGTGGATTGGTATCTACCGTAATCGACTATTTGGACCCTACCTTTTGCCTACATAGTTAAATGCTGCGACCTTCTTGGAATTTTTAAAGGCTGAACAGGCAAATATGTGGGATGATGTTATGTTAGATTTAAGAAGATTGGCCTGGGTCCAGCTTGATGGTTGTCCAGCTCATTATTCGAGAATAGTTAGAAACTGGCTGGACGAAAATTATCCAGAAAGATGGATCGGTCGTGGAGGACCAGTCGCCTGGCTTCCACGATCCATTAGATTTCTTTGTGTGGGGATTTATAAAGGAAAAAGTGTACCAGACTCCCGTAACCACAAGAGATATGCTAATAGACAGAATCAGGAATGCATGTGATGAAATAAGGCCTTATTTGAATAATGCTATACCACGTTCGATCATTCGTAGATGTGAATTGTGTATTGAACAGTTGGGTTTACACTTCGAGCAACTACTTTTTTATGTTTGTCCTAACTAACCAATAGCATTTTAGTTGTAAATAATTAATTTAATTTGTTAAAAATAATATTGGAAAATTAAACAAATTAATATTCTGTTTTTTGTGTGTTTATTTGGAGTTAGGAATTATTGCTGTGCTTAAAAACACAATCTAAACGATCATCTTAATTACTTGTAATGCCGAAATCGAAAATGTAAAAAAAAAATATTATTTTCCCATAAATAATTAAAAATGCATCGAACCTTAAAAATCGAAATATCTCAAAAACGGCTAACTATAACGAAAACTCACAAGAGAGCTTTTTTATGTTAAAAAATGCGAAGAATCAGTTTTTTTATTCAAAAAGCAAAAAATTGCACTAAGAAAAATTTTTCGGTCATTTTAATACACTACAGGTACAGTTGTGAGCGCCCTCTAGCGGCTACAGCCCATGGTTCGTTTTGTCGTACCACAAAACCCTTGTATACCAATTTTCACTGTTATACATCATTCTATCGAATCTTAAAGTTATGCAACAATAAACTGAAACACCCTGTATAGAGAGTCCTCAAAAAGAATGTAATAAAAGTCCTACCAAAATTAAGTTATAAACCTGAGGTTCAATATTAAATTGGAAAATAAATATCTGTATTTTGCGTTCATCGTCGCCATATTTGAACACGCATTTTATAATTTATTGTAGCAAATGTTGTACCAAACAACTGACGAAAACAAAATACCTCTCCTTTTTTGTGTCAGCCTGGGCGTGTAACACTCGTGAATTTCCATTACTATGAAATCCACCAACAACGGCAAAAGAACAGCGGTGTTGCTACCAAGCTGCAGTAACATAAGTTTCCGTCAACGCGTATATTGGCCCCATATATCTTGTTAAGACGTAAAAGGTAGTTTCCCGGCTCAATTCAAATTCCGTGGTCAATAAATCAGGATTTATTTGCTAGCAGCGAGGCTGTTGCCTCATTTCCTGTTCCTTGACCGAGGAAGGACACCGACACGGACGGTCCTGTCGATACAAATAGACGTTTCGGATGTTTTATTGGTGTCAGATTAAAATCAAAATTGCCTGGACATGGAAATGGAGTAAATAAGTTAGACGGGTGACAGTTATATATTGAAAATAAATAAGTCAGTAGTAGACCTATAGAAATGGAAAATTGAATAAAAGATACCAACTGCTTCGAAAAAATGTTGTTGCTCAAAGCAATACTGTGAGCCCCCTTCCCACGTCAGTTGTCAGATGTCAAACAATCTTCCATCACTGGTAAAAGCGATTCTTGT